ACAAATTTTACAAAAAATGGATTATAACACCACAAAATCTCAAACTTTTATTATAACACCACAAAAAAATCAAAAAATTTTGATTTCACCACCATCTAACGGATTTTTGGATGGAATATGTTAGTGGGGCTCACTGTGGACACGTGTTACTCAGCGATTTGTTGTATAAAAAGATAAATAAAAATAAAAACAAAAAAAAAAAAGAAAAAAGAAAAAAACCCTAAATCGTAACCCAATCCAACCCCACCATCGGAACCACCAACCAAAGCCGTCGACAGCCCCTGACCTCCCTCCGAAACCCGTCAAAACCCCCTGACCCCCCGCCGAAACTCCCTGACCCCACGCCGGAACCCCCTGACCCCACCAAAACCGCTGACTCCACCTAATCCCCCTTTCTCCTCCCAAAAAACCACCCTAGCCACCACAATTCTCTCCCGCAATGCCCCCACCGTACGGACTTCAACACCCAGAAGATGACCCACCGAACTCTGCCTACCCGACAACCCATAGAACTCCGCCTGCGCGACGATCCCCGCCCTAATCTCACCCTAGTCTGTGACCCCATTCCTTGCTAGCGGCGGCTGGGGTGTTTTTCGGTGGCTGGGGTATTTTAAGGATGGGTTAGGTGGGTTTTTTCAGTGGCTAGGGTGTTTTGAGGTCGACTCTGGTGAGTTTTTCGGTAGCTAGGGGTGCCGACGGTGGGGCTGGGTTAGGGTTTTGGGGCTGCTGGCGACAGTTCATGGTTGCCGGTGGTGGGTTGGGTTAGGGTTTAGGTTTTTTGTTTTTAATTTTTTTAATTTTTGTTTTTTTTTTGTTTTAAATTTTTCTTCATTTTTAACCAATCAATGAATGACACGTGTGCTTGGTGGGTCCTACTAACGGATTCCATCTAAAAATTCCGTTAGATGGTGGTTAAATCCAATTTTCGGGCTTTTTTTTTGTGGTGTTATAATAAAAGTTTGAGATTTTGTGGTGTTATAATCAAATTTTTGTGAAATTTTGTGGTATTATTTTCTAATTTTTCCAATATATTAAACATATATAAAGTTAGATATCATCACAATACATTGGTTTATGTTAAATAACACATATAAGTGTTATTTATTATTTTTTTAATCAAAAGTTTTACTCCTTAATACTTTAATAATATAATATGTTAAGACTTACTACTAAATTATGAAACATGAATAACTTCACGTCTTCACGAATTGTCATTTGACATTTAGCAATGGGCGCAAAAGAAAGCGATGGGAGGCCAAGGGCCAATTTTATTTTTTAGCTTTCCACGTTTACAACTTGGATTTAGTAAGAATTGATTAAGAAAGATTGTTAATAAACACATAAAAAATGATGAAGATTTATATGAGTGGTTATTGAAGAATACACAAGAAAAAAGGAGGATGGATTTGCAAACTTATATGAATGTGAAATCTTTGTTTCATGCAAACTTACCTAACCCTTTTTTCTTCGTATTCTTTATTTTCTCTTGTTACTTTTGTGAGTTTTTAGTGAGACTATTTTTCAATATTAATTGAGAGACTTAATTTAGTGGCACCCATTAAATAATGCTTCCATGATTGAGATGTTGACCTCATGATACCTTACAAAAATCCTCTATGCATGTTGGACCACTTCTACACGTGTGTTCCGGGTCTACCATGACCTCTTTTCATCAAAACTTGGCTTTAGCATTTAATTTATTTATTAATTTTGGTCGATATACATAAGCTCATGATCTGCCTCATTTATCGTTTATATTAAAACTCAGTTTATTATCTATAAGTCTCATGTATGTGGGAAGATTAGGTTGAACGTTGTAGTGATTCAAACTTGTGACCTCAGAATTGTTAATGGGGCTCCCACTCTATCCACTTTTATAGAAACTTAGCTATAACATCTTATTTATTAATCTATCCTAGTCTGTATACATAAGCTCATGATCTGCTTCATCTATCCTTATATTTGAGCTAGTATATTATCTGCAAGTCTCATGTATGTAGATGGAGGAAGAGCGTGAATGAACACAGTATGTAGTAGCTCAAATTTCGGACCTCGGGCTTGTTAACGGAGCTCCCATACTACCCATTTGTATCATAACACTGTAACATGACATCTTATTTATTTATCTATCCTAATTGGTACATATGAGCTTATGATCTGCCTCACTTCCCGTTTATACTATAAAGCTAGGTTTGTGCGCAAGTCTCATGTACGTAGACACAGGAGGCCAAAAGTGGTACGTAGTGGCTCTAATCTAGCTGGGACCTTGAGATTGCCAATGGAGCTCCCACCACTAGACCAAACTACATATCCCCAATAAACCTAGCTATATGATATGGTAAAGGAAGAAAATTGGTGCATGCTAGTATTATATGCAATGCATATATACAAAAAAAGGGTCCATATTTGTCCAAGTTTGTCCACGAGGTGTATGAACCGTCACTCTCTCTTTTCTTTAGTCCTGATTGGAAAGCATATATCTCTTTGATAGTATACTTCTTAAATTCTAGGCCTTAAGTTTCTATCTCATCTACAATTCATTGTCCTTTTGTGTACTTCATCTTTAATAGAACATGGTTCTAAACATTGCACTTATCTCATTTTATTTAATTTGATATTATTACATTTTGTGAATTAGACCATACCTTCAAATAGGATATTGTCATAATTATATTGTTCATTCCTTTTGCAAATTGTCGCCTCAATCTGCATTTTGTTAGTTGTTTCGTATTGTAAATGCTACTATGTATATTATTGATTCTTTCGAGATTGTGCATTATGTTATCTTCAATATTGCTTACCTTGCAATACTGTAACTTGTACAGTTAAGCTATTTGTATTTTCTTACGTCTGAAGAGAACATAATTTTCAATGATGTAGTAAGATTCAATGAAAACTGAAGTATGATGTAATTTTACGTAACTATTTGGAAAGGTACCCGTAACACCAGAGGAAAAAAAAAGGATCTATGTAATAAGGAGAAAAATAGATAGAATCATTGTTCAAATAATCTAACATTGCAATTAATTAGCTTTACATAAATAAATACATTGCGATTAAAATAAATAAAACAAAAAAAAGTACAAAGCTTATTCTATTGAAAAAGGCCAAGCCCCTTCCATTTGACCACATATATTTCTAGATTGTTGTAACATCATTTGCTTGTATAGATTAGAAAGTGTACTCAATACTTCCTGCGTTTTATATAGTGGACTACTCTAATACTCTGTATAAATCTACATAAAAAGAAAATTAGTGTTGGGTGCATGCATGTGATTACATTTTGTAGAATGAATGGATTAATTTGTTACAATTTCTTGATTTGGAATACTAAAAACACATAACATTAAACATTTTCTCTCTCATTTCCCAAATTTGTGGATTAAGGGTTTACAATCACAACGCATATTATTCAAAGCTAAGGTTGAAAACATATTTCCAATTCTAATACTTTGTACATCATAATACTATCACATTTTGGAATAACATGATCTTACTTTGTTTTATTTTATGTTTGATTTATACAAAATGCAAAGTGTAGCACAAAAATTTAGGTAAAGTGGAGGAAAAGGATTGAAATTAAGAACAAGTATGGTCTGCCATTATAATTTGTATATTTCCACATTTTATGCATAAATAAATATAGTTCAGAAAAAGAACTACAAAAAAAAAAAAAAAAAAAAAAAAAAAAAAAAAAAATTTCACCACATTTTGCAGCTTCCTTCGTCTTTTTATTCCTAAATTCCCAAGTGCTCAAATCCGACAAATCAACCCACTTCCAAACAAAAAGCACACTCCAACCATACATGTAATTGCGTGCAAATCATGTACTACTCATACTTAAATACTATCAAATTTTAACACTAAAGTTACTCCATCCATTCAAAAGATTCCTCTCCAAATACCAAGTTTGTGCCTTTCTTCACCATCTAGAAGGGTAATTACAATTACTTGAGTTTACTGTTGTACATGCGCTGAAGGACTTTACTTAGAAGATGCCTTTTATAAATCAGTCAATCTAATTATACAGGTCAACATTTAAATGTAGAGGGTAAGGAAATCATTTATATTTCTTAAGCAAAAGTAGATGGTCATACTCGAATTGAATTTGTGACCTCTGACATGACATATTTGGTTATTTACTAATGCTAATCATTTTAAATACACAACAATGAAATCTATAAATTTTATTGCAATAATGATTTGGTAAAGTGCAGAGTACACAACCCGATATATTTTTTGACAACTTAAATAACGACCAAGTTGGTGTTATTGGATTTTCACCCGTTTATTCATTTTAATCCATATTATACTAAATAGTCTATGATTAATTACTAAATTAGGGGTATAATCCTAGCCACTCCTAAAGATGAATAGCTAGCTCTTAATTAAGACCTAAAATGGACCCACAATTTTTAACAAAAACAGCTAGTCAAAAAACATTATAAGGTCACCCCACAAACACACTACACACTACATACTACATACGTCAATATTTGTATGTGAATATAATACAATACGATCGGTACTTGACTCCTTTCTTATGTTTTTATTTTTGGAAAAATAAATTCTAACAATTCCATCTTTGGCCAGTTTCCCATTAATAATCCCATCTTTTAATTATTATCTAATAATCCTACCTTTATACTTCGTATGAGATTCTCTTTTGTTGGCCCCTTGTGACTAATTACCTGCACAATTTTTTAAAATTTTAATTTATTTGACACGTGTTATTACATGATTGGTAAAAAAAATTTAAAAAAAATTAAAAAAAGTTAAAAAAAAGAAAAAAAATACCCAACAACCTCAACCCCACGCCACCCCATCTCAACTTCCGGCAACCGCCCTTTCCCACCACCGCCATCCTCCGGCAGCCCCTTCCCCACCCCCACCACCACTGGAATCTTCCCCTCTCCACGACCCACCCAACGACAACACCCCACTCCCCGGATTCCACCACGACACCCTAAACCCGTCCCGAAAACCACCCATCCCCTATCCCCCACCTCGAAAACCATTCTTCTCCCCCTACTCGGCGTCAAATAATATTCAACAACACCCTATATTCTCCAAAATCAACAATTCGGACCCTTTTATCATCAAATCAAGGACACCCAACTTAGAAAAATTACAGAAATAAAAACATATAAATTGATATGAAGAAATTGAATAATTTGGAATCAAATACAATTAACAAAAATAAATAAGAAAAAAATTAACCTTGAGATAAGTGAGGAGATTGTTACAGCGAAATTGCCGGCGGCTGCACGCGAGGAGAGAGAAAGAGGTCGGAAGTCCAGAAAAGAGGGGTTGGGTTTAGGATTTCGTGGTGGATTCCGGGGAGGGGGCGCTGTCGTTGGGTGACTCGTAGAGAGGGGAAGATTCCGGTGGTGGTGGGGGTGGGGAAGGGGGCTGCCGAAGGATGGAGAGGGTGGGAAGGGACGTTTGCCGGACTGCCGGAGGATGGAGTAGCGTGGGGTTATTTTTTTTATTTTTTTTTTATACTTTTTTAGTTTTTTTTTTTTTAATTTTTAAAATTTTCTTTAATTTTCAACCAATCACAAAGTGACACGTAGCATATTCACCTATCAAATCCGGTTACCAACCGGGTTAAGGACCAATGGAAGAAAATCGCCTATAAAGGTGGGATTATTAGATAATAATCAAAAGGTGTGATTATTAATGGCGAACCGATCAAAAGTGGGATTATTAGAATCAAATTTCCTTTATTTTAATCCTTCTTTTTCTGTATTCTTCTTAAAATAGACATTTGCTTCTTAAACCAACTTATTTCTTGCCTCCAAAATTTATCTCTAAACTCTCTCTCTTTATCTCTCACTCTCTCTCAACATCCATCCATCCATCCTTAATACTACCGTATCCATGGAAACTCAGCAACAAGTTCGGCACGAAAATCGTAATATTCGGGATTCAGAAACAGAAGGAAAAGAGGTAGCAGAACAGGTGCAGCAGCAAAGAACAACACCAGGTGCATCAGCAACTAATTCGCCAGCATCTTCACCATCACATGAATTTTCCTTCACAATCTCATTGCATACTTCTGCAACAACGACACCGAAAGCATCATCATCGCCTTCCTTAGCAACGAAATCAAAGAACCAACAAGAGGCTCCATTAGCAATTGATTTATCTCCTGCTGATGAAATCTTCTTCCATGGTCATTTACTTCCTCTCCACTTCTTATCCCACCTCCACGCTTCCTCTGCTCGCCCCTCGACTCATTCGTTAGACGGTTTTTCCAGCCAAATCAGAGACGCCTTCCATGAAGAAAAACCACTCACAAGCAGCACTACTGATAACAGCAGCACCACCTGCAGCTGTACTGAAGACGACCAATACATCTCATTCGACAAAGATTACAGCAAAATAGAAATCAACAACAATATCAGCAGACACGATTTTGGAAGTAAAGAAAGAAGCAGCAGTAGCAACAACAAGTTCAAATCATTCTCCCTCTTTGGTTTATCAAAATGGAAAAAACTGTCAGACAGTAAAGAAAAAACAGAACACCCAGAAAACTGCAGCAGACGAAATAAACTGAAGTCTGACGTCACTCAATTTCTTAAGAGATACATCAATATGGTGAAGCCACTGTTATCTCCCAAAGGAGGTGGGAGAAGGGATAGTGTACGAGTACGAAGGCAGTCGTACTCGTTCTCAGGGACGGTTAGTCCTCGAGACAATAGAGAACTAATGAGAGGAAGACGAGGAGAGTTTTCGGCCCCTGCATCAATGAGGACATCACCTACTAACAGTGGACTTCTTTTGGCTACTGCAGGGGTGCCATCACCTTCAAGTGATAGCACCATGGAAGAGTTGCAGGCTGCTATTCAAGCTGCTATTGCTCATTGCAAGAATTCCATTTCAACTGAAGATAAGAAATCACAAGAAATTTCATCATCAATTCCTGTAAATTAGATTAGCATTCATTATTAATATCAATATAATCATGATTTTATTTTCAGTTCTTGTTTTCTAGTATAATTCTTTTATTTAAGTCTATATTAGACTAGTATATCATAGATGTAAAATGTATGCTAGTAAATGTTGGCACGTGGTAATCACGACAATACAGGAAATCGAATTTTGTCTACATCATTGTTGTCCTGCACAGTGTCTTAGTCGTCGGTTTGAAAAAACATAATGGCAAATGAATTAAAACCTCATATTTATGGTTCAAAACACAAGGTTTGGGAGCTTCCAACCAATTTTGGTCCAATAATGGTTGTATTGCTAGCTCAAAACAGTTCTAAACGGGCCTGCCTTTTGCCCCACAAGTTTGAGGTGATGAATACAATTTGTTGCAGGGGGAGTTACAGATGAAATTATTATAATGTACTTGTCATTTTAATTAATTCTTATCATAACCACCACTAAAGACGTGTAAGGATGGGGCTACAATGATAAAAATGACAATAAATCGCGCAATTAGTGTTAATGTGATACGATTTGTGTGATAATGAATTAACAATACACGTTGTTATGTTTAATGATGTGCTCATTACATAATAGCTAATAAAGGATACTATGTCACGGTGTATGTAAAAAGAAGCATGAATCAATATTGTAAAGTAATGACCCTTATATTGTTATATTTAATGACCCTTGTATTGTTATATCATACTGATGGATACTTTGAATATATTTAATGACCCTTGTATATATTGTTATAAGATTTTGGAAAGTAATAGCATGTAAAACATCAATCACTTCAATATAAATCAAGCGTAATTCAAGATTATAAGGGTAAGATTGTACACATCTAAATCATTATGGGCGGGATAATAAGTGGGATATTTCAAAAAAAAAAAAAAATCATACTGATTGTAGTTTTTATTTTGGAAAATGCTATTTATAGCTCTTAAAAAAAGAGGAAAGTTTTAATGAAATATATTCATTAATTACTTACACTAATTTTCACGTGATTTATTTTGTAATGTATTCCTAAATTTATATCAAATAAGGAAATTTATTAAATACTTATTTGTAGCCCTACATGTAACACTACCCTTTTATTTTAATCATTATAAACACAAAACCATTCATGCTGACCTAATTAATTTCAACAAACACAATATTTTAGCGAGGCAATGATGCATATATGATAATTCTTGGAACATGAGGAGACTAGATTGCTCATATGTCAAATTAAACAATGCATCTGGATTAATAAGTCATGTCACAATAAAGGACACTTCTAATTAATGCCAAATTTTCCTAAAGCGCAGGCAACATAAAAAGACATGCCATACTACTATCCTAATTTAGTGTCACATTATTCCCTCTCTTTCTAAATCAGTGCATCGCTTATTCTCATTGAGTTTTATACAAGATTAAAGTAAGTACATTAATTTGCAAGTAAATTAGGCTGGAAAAATAATCCTTCCTCCTTTTTTTTTATTTTTTTTTACACCATGAGTGATTTCACGCTTATATATGCATTAATTTGCCTATTAATATCTTTAATTATACTTTTGTAAACATTATAAATAGTTGATATTTGAAAAGTAGATTTTGAGACGAACCTAACTAGGTCCCACATAACTATGTTTTTTTCTTATGGATAAATCACAAAAGATAGTCAAGAAGATTATGAAAATAGTGTAAAAGTCCTTATGGTACAATTAAAAAAAAAAAAAAAACAAAGGAAGTACAAGAATATTGATAAGTGTTAAGTTGTGACTTAAAATCTAGTAGGGCCGACTTTGAATGCAAATATCTCTAAAATTATAAGTAACTTTGAGGTGATTCAAGTTGGAGGTGATAGCTTGATTCAAGAGATTTCCAACGATAGGTCAGATGCCCAATTCCGATAAGAAACGAGAAACTTATGGCTATTTTACGAAAACCTAACGAAGCTGGAAAATTGCAACGAGCGGGCGAGCTATAATTCTAGGCGAGTGAGCTATAACTCGGCCTATGAAGACTTGCGGCAAGCTTGAGCTAGCTGCTGAGCTATAGCTCGGTAGTTCGGTTCTTCTAAGATAACTTATGGAATATTTCCTAAAATTATATCTTTTTCATGACGGCTATTTGAGTATATTTGGCGAATAATTTAGGGTTTTATTAGGGTTTCCTTGTGTTATAAAGGGAGCCTTTAGTTGATCAATTAGATCATACCTTTTGAGCCATTAGATTTAGGACTCCTTGTATTATTCTCTCGTTCTTTTTCCATTATAGTGAACAAGCTCTCGAATCCCCCACCTGTGGATGTAGGTCTAATTTGATCAAACCACGTAAATTCTTGTGTTTTTTTGTTTATCTTCTTTATTGCTTTTCTCATTCTTATTTTTCATTGACTTATCCCACATTAATTAAACATAATTACACCCTTATTTCCTAACAATAAGATTAAGGGGAGTGGAGGAATATTTAATTTGTACATAAAGGGAATTCGTATGCAAATTTCGATCATATATAGTGGAGGAGAAGGAGAGATAAATAATAAGAAATAACAACCACAGTTAAAGGAGAGATAGAATACGTAGTGTAATATAGAGAAATATTTATATTATAAAGTGACGCGATTGTTTTAGAACAGTTACATAAATAAATTAATTTAAATGAGGTACATACTTAGAAATAAATCGAGGGAGTAGCATATAGCTGAAGTTTCGTTGTTAGCAGATGGCCAATTTTTAATGTGGGTCTCTTGATTTGAAAACTCAAGACTTTTAGAATAAAGCTTAGTACAACAAGTACTATAATGTGCAATGATATCTATATGTACTAATGCACATGCATGGCTGCATGCTAACCATGTTATTAATTTAGCTACGCCTGAAACTAATCAAATCATAATAATGATAAGCATGATAATACTCATGATTAGTGCAACTAATCACGAGGCGAATTAACGATCTTTTCTTTTTAAGAAGCTCCCTTAATTATGTTTAGTTAGCTCATAACCTTGAAAACTAGAGCCCACTCATTTGTATTACTGTATTATATATACTTCTTTTCTTTTGAAAAAACTATTACTTTAGGACCGTTGTTATGCTTTGATTAGCTAGAAAAAGTGATTTATTGTATGTATAAACAAGATTATGTGTATAATTATGCGCGTGCGTGCAAGATCGAAATCCCGTAGATCTTCTAGTTTGATTATTTTTTTATAGTTTGAAGTATTAAGCATGAAGATACCTTATTAAAGTAATCCATTTGATTGCTCGATCTTAATTTAGATTTACAGCAGAGATCAACTTTTGCTTCTTTAGTAGATGATCTTGTAATAATAATTAAGAAAGTAACTTGCTTTAATGAATTAACGAGAAAGCATTTTGCAATGATTGGAACATTCAATTAGCATAGTTAAATTAATTAATGTAAATAATTAGACTAAAGTAAAATCTTTTTTGATGTATGAGCTTTAATACACGTGTGACTGACCTTAATCATCCTAGAGCAGTGCAAAAATGCATTAACGCTTTATTATGAAGAACTTGGACTAGATAAAGTGCTTAACTTATAGGAGTACTATATGTTTGCGACCGATATTTTATGGCACTTTATATTGTCCAAAGTATAGTTGGGTACTTGTAATTAATTAAATTGTATTATAATTAGCCATATTTAGCGTTAGCGTTTGCGATAGGGAACTAGCATTTTGACTAAGTCAAAATACCACTAGGAAAAAACAAGAGTGTTTGACAAGGTAGTGGTTTGGGCAGCGATTAGTGGTAGAGGTACCGTTTGGGTTGGTTTTCTCAAATGTTAAAAACAGTAGCATTTCAAAGTAGCGGATAGCGTTTGACAAATTTTGATTACTTTATTAAACAACGTGTAAGGATTTTAATGTACTTTAGTATTGCAACCGCCACTGCTATCGCCAATCACTCATATTACCACACGTTACTTTTATAGCTAATCTCTACCCACTGCTAGTTGACAACTACTCGCTACTCGACCGCTAAAAGCTACCTGCACACTAATTTTGCCAAACTATTTGGATGTATATACATTTTATTTTATGATAGAATGGAGCAGCTAAATAAATTAAGAAAATTTGCCAATACTAACACGACCTTTCAGCATTCTTCCAAAAATAGATCGACCTTTGGATTATGTCAAAATGGAACAACCTTCGATACACATGCATCTGCCAAAAATGGAACAACAAAACCTGTAACCTGTTTTACAGGTTACATTTGACATGTGTGATTGGTTAAAACATTTTTATTTTATTTTAACATTTCTTTAATAATAATGATTTTAAAAAACAAAACTTAAATTAAAAAAACTTTTAAAAAAATTTAACTCTAAAAATAAAAACTTAGAAAAAAAAAAAAAAACCCTTCCTCCCTTACCAACAGCAACCCCACCACCACCCACTCCCCCCTCTCCACCCCCGCCGGTGGCGAGAGCCCCCTACTCGGCGCCACCCCTCCCATACCTATCCAGACCCCGAGTACCCAACCCCTCCCCTTACCCTGAGCCACCTTCCCTCACCCTAAAACCCCTTCCCTCCCCTCGGAAAACGCTCCCTTACTCCTCACCGGCCGGCGCCTAAACCCCCTCCCCGTGCCGGCGAAACCATTTCACCCCTCTGTCGGTTGTGTCAACCCCCTTCCCCCTGTGAACCACCACTCAAAAAGTCAAAAACCCTAAAACCACCACTCGAATTTAGGGATTTAGGGGTTTCAGGTGGTGGTTCAAGGGGAAGGGGGTGGACACGGCCGACGGAGAGGCGAAATGGGTTTCCCAACACAGGGAAGGGGGTTTGGGCACCGGCCGCTGGGGAGAGGAGGGTTTTTGAGGGGAGGGATGAGTTTTAAGGTGGGGGGGAAGGTGGTTTAGGGGAGGGGCTGGGTGGTCGGGGTCTAGGTCATGAAGGGTGCTGTCGGCGCAGGGTAACGGGGCTCTGGCCGCCGGCAGGGGTGGGGAGGGAGGGAGGGGGTGGTGGTGGGGTGGCTACCGGCAGGGGTAGGGTTTTTTTTTTTTTTTTTTTTTTTTTTTTTTTTTTTTGAAGTATTTTTTTTTATTTCAAGGTTTTTTTAAAAAATATAAAATTGTTAAAAAAAAGACCAATGACATTGTGACACGTGTCACATGTAACCTATTAAATAGATTACCAACAGGTCACGTTCCATTTTTGGCAAATGTGTGTCAAAGGTCGATCCATTTTTTGAAATTACCAAAAGTTGTTCT